CGGATAAATGACGTTGGCATACGAATATCTACCTTTTTTTAAAGAAGTACCATAAATAAATGTATCATTTTTATCTCTCGTAACTTTACGTCATCACTTTATCTCATCACTGTCTCCCTCATTACTCTTTCTCATTACCTTATCTCATCACTTTACCTCATCACTTGATCTCTCGTCATTTTAGCGCATCACTTTACGTCACCATTCGATCTCATCACTCTCTCGCATCACATTCTCGCTCGTCGCCTTATCCCATCAACGGTCTCTCTCTCTCTCTCTCGCTCTCTCTCTCTCTCTTACTCTCTTGACGCAGCAGTGGTGTAGAGTTCCAGGCGCGATTTCGCGGACAGCCAAAAACCGCGGATCGCGAGTTTAGCGAACGAGGGGGGATAACGGTGCGTGCTGCAATGGGCGACTCGCCCGCCGGGAAGGAAATAAGCCATATAGCCACCGCTGCTTGAACACTGGCCGCCTTTGTTACTGGCAAGCGGCCGTGTTCCATGGGTTGTGACCCCCTGCGAGGATTCCCATGCCGTTGCCTTGGCTCTCGCCTGACCTGTTGTGTAATAATATCCAATTAGTATGCCAGACCCCATTCCTACCCCATGGCTCTATTGGATTGTATGAATGAGCTGAATTTAAATAGGGATTGGTTTTTATATATAAAGGATTACGTGCTTTCCTGTTTTTATTTTATATTTGCATTTTGTTTCCTCCCCCCCCCCCCGCCCCCCCTGCGTAATTCTTTGTCGGTTCATTGATTGTCTCGTTTTGCGTTGTCTTGTTCTCCCTTTTATTGAAATCGTGGTGCACGTCACTGCTTGAAAGCGAGTTGCTTACATACAGCAGCAGCGGTGGCCACACCAAGATCTCCCTTTCTACTCGAGCCCCGTTCTTCTGTTTCCCGTTCGAGTCGCCGCCGTTTCCGTTTCTCCGCCGGTCTGAACGTCGCTCCACCGACGGCCAGCACTACGCACACACACGCACACACACACGCGAATGTGTGTGTGTGCGTGTGTGTGTGTGTGCAGTGTGCACCCGGCCATGCGTCTGACGTTGAACCCAGGTAGCGTTAGACTGATGGCCGCGCAAGGCTGTCTGGCTGGCTGGCTGGCTCGCCCGAGTCTGCTAATTTGGCTCGGGATCTTTAACCGCAAATTAAGTATGAGCACCCTTTGGGAGGGAATGATAATGCTGACTGTTGTTACACTCTAGCAATGTGCCCTCTGTGGACCGGATGTGGCTATCTGCCCCCCCCCCCACTCGCACACCGATGGACAATTAAACGACGGACAATCCCCACACCTCCGATTAGCACCGTTGGATGCGTACGGTGCGAAATAAGTTCAACATGTGTACATACCTCAGTGGGCTTTGCCTGGTAGGATGAGGATGGTTTAATTTTATTCGTATGTTTTTGGGTGATTTGTTTACATTCTCTTGTACTTTGCCGTACTATCATGTTTTTCGTCTTGTTGTTGTAACGTTCGTACCCCACCCAACTGGACATCTGTGAAAAAGAGCGGTCACCAATCTCATAACCACAGACCGCATTGCAATGCCAATGGCGACTTCCGTCATTTGCCGGTGGCGTTTGAGATATTTTGATATTCACCGGGTTAATTTGCTTGTCCTTCCCTCGCACCTCCGAAAAGCGCGGTTGGCTACGTACAGTGCGAGAGAAGTTCAAAATACATTCGTACAACATGTTTTTTGGTTAGATCACGTAAATATATAAATATGTCGTTAAACCCACCACCACCCGACACAGCCAATTAGTAAGGTTTGTCACATATTCTTGGTTCTTTTGGTAAAGTCACGTAGAAGGGAAACAATAAAATAATAAAAATATAAAACAATAAAATTCTCACGACGTTTCGACTGCAACACAAGCAATCATCATCAGGTGTGAAAACCACAGCAAAGAAATTTTTTAAAAAAGTGGCAGGTTTTTTTACCGTTAGCACCACGGAAACGTCGTGAGAATTTAATTGTTTTATATTTGTATTATTTTACTGTTTCCCTTCTACGTGACTTTACCGAAAGAACCAAGAATATGAATCCCTGCAGTCACGAACGCTTTAAATCTAAATTTAAGGTTTGTCACGTAAACAGAACGTGCCAATTCGTCACGGGCACAGCACAACCGGTGTGTTGGAGAGCCAAGCCACCAAACATTCGCAATGCACACCCCTGCGGCCGTACGCTGGCCCAGTCCGCGAGCTCGTCGTGGGCACAATACGAAAGTCGATTGTCCCGCCATGTGAAAGGGGCAGCGTCGCGTGAAAAATTCCCGTGGTTCCGCCACGTCAGTGCGCGCCTCTCGACGCGGGCACCGACGAATCTTCCCGTGAGTTTGCACCTCGAACCGCGGGCCGAAGGGGAAGGAGAAGAGCTGGTGGGGGGGGGGGGGGGGGGGGGGGGGTGGGGGGGTGACGTTCTCCTTGACGTCCACGTTGAGAACGGGAGTTTCACAACATCCGCGTGTGGTGATCCAGCGACCCGCGGCGATGCCTCCACAGTGCCGGATTAGAATGCGCGTGTGCGTAGGCACCGCTGGCCGCCATGCGCCTGCAATCAAATAACAGGATCGAATAACGGGCGGCCTCGCCGAACGCGGGGGTCACCGCGTTCCCGGAGAATGCCGCGTATAGCCGAAACACGCGATTCGACGATGCCGCGCCGGGCAAGGCTTTCCCCGCTTAATGATAATAATAATAATAAAGAAGACGTTCGCGCTGGGCTAAAACGAAGCGCGACCCAAGGCAAGCCCGGCGTGCGATGATGATGACCGAAACCCCTCGCGAGTGCCACCGCGCACAGCGAGCGGACCCGTCGTCGCCCGATCCGCCGTGCGGCTCGTTAGCTCGCTGGCTGCTGCTGCTGCTGCTGCTGCTCGAGCACAGGTGGCCGCGGGCTCGGGACGTCCGTAGATTGTCAAGGGCGGGCGGGCGGGCGGGCGGGCGGGCGGGCAGGGGTTCAACCGTCGGGTGACCGCGAGGGGAGCCCGCGCCCTTGACCGCTGAGAGGAGGAGTGGTGCATTTAGGAAGCGTACGACAACAACGAAAACCCCAACGGTCGAGTGGCGATTTGGGCTCGTGGAGCTGCGCACCACAGAAATAAATTTTCCCCACTTGTCATTCCAACTCGGCGCCCTTGGCCGGGTACTGGAGTTGGCTGTGACCCCCGGCGCCCGGTGCCAAAAACAGCCCCCCCCCCCCCCCCCGCCCACCACCATCTCCCCGGAATAGATGTAACCCATTAACAAGATTGGGAAGAAAAAAAACCCGAACTTTTATACAATACAGAAACAAAAAAAAAACTATTTATATTCGATTAAGGAGAATCCCATTAATGCAGAATCTCCTTAAAGTACGGAGCCATTTTACATTCTAACCGTGGTGTCTGCAACGCATTTGCCCCCTGCTGTAATCTTGGCTTAATTTAATTTAAGCCGGAGCTGTCCAGGGCTGAGCTCTGAAAAATGTTTTGCTTGCGTCAGGTGCGGGAGGGGGGGGGGGGGGGGGGGGTTGTGGTTGGGAGTTTGGGAGGCCCTGGAAAATATTTCCCCGATAAATTAAGCCATACTGTAATCGGATATTTCCTGCTTTAACATGGATCAGAAACAACATTAGACAATTCAGCTGGAACAAAATCTGAGCAGGGTACCAGAGGAACGTTTCGGGGATGCAAAAGGGAATTACACATGGATCAGAGAGCACATTGAAATAAGAGAGACCCAGAAGCGTTTTGGGGACTTCTGTCCGTGAAGTCTCTGTGGCCCCTCCCTGCGGCTCTGTACCGGGCTCACGTTGAAATACAATAATAAAAAAATACATCTCGAACTTAAGATAAGCAAGTGTGTATGAGCAGAGTGAAGCGATAGAGGGTACGGTAGCGCCTATGGACGAGACAGGTGGAAACCGACGGAGGGAATGTGCCCGAGACTGCGGCCTCCGTGTGGATGGAGACGCTCGAACTGCTCATCGGAGGAGCGAGACGGATTGTGGCATCGCTGTAGTGCCACGCGGGGTGGGGGTGTAGAAGGTGACAACTTGGGAGTAGGCCTTCATCCAGCAGTAGATAGATAAATGATGAGGAATCCCGTGAAAAAAATCAAAAATATATATATTCGGTTACTCTTTGGTTCTATTCGGTAAAGTCACGTAAAAAACAACAAAAAATAAAAAAAAATTCACGACGTTTCGGCCACAACACAAGTGGCCTTCATCAGGTGAAGGGACCAGGCTGTCTAGAGGACAGCGCTGGAGTGAACACAGACAAGCTCAGACCGCGACCTTTAAGCTGTGTGAGAGGAAGCAGCTTTAAGGTCGCGGTCTGAGCTTGGCAGTGTTCACTCCAGCGCTGTCCTCTAGACAGTCTGGTCCCTTCACCTGATGAAGGCCACTTGTGTTGTGGCCGAAACGTCGTGAATTTTTATTTTTTGTTGTTTTTCACGTGACTTTACCGAATAGAACCAAAGAGTATGGATCCTTGCAGTCACGAAAGCTTCAAATCTAGAATATATTCGGTTACACATCTGACATTTTACCGTGGACTGTCACTTTTACTGTTAAACTTAATGATGTTAAAATTAATAATGCGATTAATTTACAGCACTTTATCCGATCCACTACTGGATGAAGGCCTCCTCTCCCCCCCCCCCCCCCCCCCCCAAAACCATGTCAATCATGGATTTTAATTGACCATTCTTCACCACCCTGGTCAGTGTGGTTTGGTGGAAGGAGGTGGCAGGGCACGTGGGTGGGTGTGGGGGGACTGGTTTGGATATCCCCCTCTGACCAACGTTGTTAGCCACGGCTGGGAATCTAACTCGGCTTAACGGATGTCACGAATTCGCAGCGCGGCACTCTGACCAATGCGTCTACCCCGCACTTCGTCCTCGCGCATTAACGAAGCCCGCCTGGTCAGCACTGCGTTCGCTGCTCTCAGCCGCGTGATGTTTATTAATTGTTGCTTTTCTCTTGCCCCCTGACAGTGACCTTTCCAATAACAAGCTGACAAGCCTCTCTTGGAAGACCTTCCACGGACTCAACCTCTCGAAGCTGTAAGTGCCTGCGGCTTAAACTCCCCACACATTGCCCTCGACCCTCTCGCACTGCTCGTTATGAACATGTTTTTAAATATTTTTTTCTCGTTTTAATGATTGCGTCTTTATTGGAAATGGCACCAAAATGTATACATTTAAGTATATACACATTAAGCAACTAGGCATGACGGAACTGAGTTAAAATAAGCTGGCAATTTTCTTTTTCATTGTGTGCCACGTGTGGGATGTGTTGTTTATTCGGGGGGGGGGGGAGGGGCGGGAGCGGTATTTGTGGTTAATTGTGGTTAATAATACATTTCAGAACCGCCGCCAACAGGTTGCGTGGAATATCTTATGTGCGTCTTCTCAGTTTGTTGGGGCCAGTGATGGCATGGACACTAGTAGTTGCTCTGTAAAAGTTACAGGGCACCGCAGCGCTGTATTTAGGATTTTAACGTCATTTATTTGGGTGCTTGATGCCAGTCGGCAACTGGAATATTATTTTTTAAGTCAAAGTGGCCAATAATATCACAACCTGCTTTCACAGCTTTTATCTATTTTCACCACAATATTCGTACTAAATCTGAGCAAGGTGCATGTTTGACAAGGTGATGGATGTATTTTAGTGAGCTGGGAATTAGAAAAAAAAATAGTAAGGCACAGCATAGCTCATCATAATTATATATCATCCTTGTCCCATGAGAAATTGTCGGTGATAAGGTTAAGATCTCCAGAGAAAACACTTGAGCTCAGAGTGGTCATTCTCCCCGCTAGAATAGAGAAGAGAAAGAGAAAGGGGGGGAAAAAAGAGTGAAAAGGTCAGCGTTCCGACTTGATGTGCGTCATACGCATTACGCGCGCGTGCACATTGAACTAAAACACACTTATTTTTTTCCCTTCCATTAATATTTACGGGATGGGGGGCGGGGGGCGGCAGAATGTATTTTTACTAAATCACCTCAAACGCGTGCCTGTAATAAAATGACCGCTTACGAAAGTGGAGTCAAAGGTTGACACACGGTGGAAGTGGGGGGGGGAAGAAAACTTTCCACAGCGGAATACAATTTTGGCCCAGAATATATTCCGTACGAGCCAGTGCCTTGATATCACTCACGGTTGACAACGCAGACCTCGGGCTACCAGTTCGAGTCTACCTCCTGGCACGGTAGCCCCGAAACTCTGAATGGGGTAAAACCTTTCTTAAATCCCATTTTGGAGTGGCTTTCTCAAAATGCTTCCTCCCCCCCCCCCTTCTTGTCCAGGCCCTTCGGCCAGCAGGCGCACGAGCAAGCAATTGCAGGGCTACACATTTTTCCCGCGCCTTCACATTATTTCAAAACCTCTGATATTACAAGCCAGAAGAAATAAGGTCCGTCGAGTTGCAATATCTCCCAGAAAACAAACTACAGCAAAATATATTTTTTTGTGTCACGGTTTGTTTTTCATAATATAGTTGCAATTAATATTCACTCTTTACAATTGGTCACGCTCGATGGCACCGTTACGAAATGTCCTCCGATTGTGAATGGTGAAGCGAAGTCGTTCACATGGCTTTGGCAATTCCCTGGCTGTCACTGGCAAATCCATGCGCAGGCTGATCCAGGGATGGGATGATGGCGTGAGAGATGATAACAAGATCTCGCCTTCTTGCGGCTTCTGGCTAGGTATTTATGGGGAAACAGAACATTATAAATTGAACTTGAATGTTTTTAGTATATTATATATAGGGTGAACAAATCTCATTTGATGTACATTACCAAAAATAAGCAACATTGCCCACACATTACGTGCGTGGCAATAAATTACAAATCATACGATTAAAGGGTAAATGAATTGTTGTTTGATAGCGCAACGTGAAAAAAGACGGTTAAATTCATACGGCCGACATTATTCAGAATTGTTTTTTTTCCTTTTGAGTGAGGTCATGGAAAATCATCTGTGGCGTCCCCCCCTCACCCACCCGGCCAACGAATTAAATCGTTCCGTGAATTAAACATGTGGGGTTCTGAGATCTGAACACCCGTTAACAACCTGGCGATGCTGGACGTAAACGTCCAGTGAAACATCGTTCCCATGCAAATATTACGAGATTCCTCTCCAGCAACAACAATACGTATGTTTGCGAGTACGGTGGGAAACTTTTTTCGCACCGTACGTAGCCAACCGCGCTAATCGGAGGTGCGGGGGAAGGACAGCAAACGAAACACAAAAAGCGGTTCTAAAAGAAATGAGATTTCGCGACACCGTTGGCGCTGCTGAAGCAGTCACAAGCGTTTGATCCCCGTAGACACGATCATTAAATCGGCAGTGTCGGGTGGAGAAGGGTGTGCCGACACACGTTTTTACACGATGATCTAACCCAAAGGAAATTATTTATGAATTATGCAAAGATGGCCTTGAAAATAACCGAATTTAAAGTGGGGGACAGTTTAATGTGTTTACAAGGCTCGCAGACATTACCATTGTCACCGTGTATGTCTGCGTCTATGCATGGGTACCCTTTGGCGAGCGGGATTCTTCTGACATTTACTTTGTGTCATGAGGTTAACGCTGTTCAACTGCACGATTGTTTGTAATTTTAATGATTTTTCCCCTCCTCCGCTTTCCCAACTGGCAATTGTGTTGTAAACAAAAACCCATCGTTCAAGCGGTGGGGAAAATCCTATTTAAATGCTGTTTCAAATACATAATATTAAACCATGTAAGACATGAAATAAACGCTATAGGAATTCAATACAAACCAAATCAATACCAAATGGTATATATGATCCAATGTGCCTCTTTACTCTCCCATGAAATCTTACAGGATATTAATTTGGAAAAAATTGGATTCGTGTTGGACTGTCCCATGCCAAGATCTCCAGTAAAAACACGTAACGTCGGACAAACGTTGATCCAACGTTGGAGCAACGTCAGACCAACGGTTATAACCGCATGCCAACGTTGGCCCAACGTTGCATGTTAGAGTATTTAGCTGCTGCTATACATTTCCACATGATGATAAGCCACTTCGTTGAGCTATCATTTGTGGGCAGGTCGCTTGTGCAATAAGAGCTACATAGTTCAGTGGGCCTTACATGGTAAAATAAAAAAGTTGTTTTCATATTTACTGGGTCTCCATTCGCAATTGTGGCTTTACACCGCATGCAACGGGAACAATGCACATCTATCTCCGTTCTGTAAACAACAAATGTCTTCATTTAAATCGCGGGTTTTTCATAGCTTGCAGTGTGATCCAGGATTGTTTTTTTTTGGGTTTGGGCCTCCTGGTCGTATTCTCACGCCCCCAAAATTATTGCCGTTTGCTCCCCGCAACCCGAGCAAGATTGTCACGTTTAACAGAGATATTATTTACACCCTGCCAATGCATTGTTCGAGTCGTGGCCAACGAAGCCACTCCCCGCTGGGGACTTGCGATTTGAAGTGACTGGAATGCAACGCCAACGTCCAGCGAGCCGTCTTAAGGCCGGGCAATACGTCGTCGTAGATGTTTGTATTAAAACGAATCAACAAAACTCATCATGGTAAACCGATATTATTATTAATGCTCGTGAGCAGGCGTTTTTTTGTTGTTTTGTGGTTGCATCGTCCAATTAGATTTCAATTGAGAATCGAGTTCTTTGCGAAGCTCCCAGAACTGAAGTAATTAGTTCCTGAAGATGACGGAGGTGATTCTGTCGAGTGAATGAGTCAGAACGGTAACTGGTCCTCCCCAAGAGTAACGTAAAGAAATAAACACTCGTGGTGCAACTCACTTTGTACGATCAATCAAATGAACTCAATCTCCCGCATGTGCTTAAGGGTTGTAGATTGGTGGCACACGTGAACTGAATTCGCTTCAGTTCCTTAAGATACTCCCAGCGCGTGCAGCGAAACGTCAGACAATCATGCCAAACTAACATGCCGCGCAAATCTGAAAGCACGTCAGAGGAGCTAAACATTATTTGTGTTTTTTTTTTAAATAACACGAGCCACTCGAAGCGTCATTGTCAGTCATTATGCAGTGCGACCACACTTCATAGCAATCCCAATTACGTGAGTTGCTTTTCACAAGACATGAATTCGAACAAGTTACCCCGTGCACCATCTTTGCTTTTGTAAACACGGATCGCTGCCCTCACGCACCTCTCATTCATCGTGAAAATCCATTCACGTGGAATTCAGAATTAGCAGAATAAGACAAATGAGGTTAGATTTAGTTTTTTTCTTAAACAAATGAGGATAGATTTGCGCTATGGTCGAAACGTCGTGAGAATGGTATTGTTTTATATATATTATTATTACTTTATTGTTTCCCTTCAACGTGACTTTACCGAAAGAGCTAAGAATGAAATGGGGATAGAACTTGTTTGAATATGTATAAATGCTGAGCCGTACCTAACTACATTTTAGAGCGCAATTTACATGTACCGTCCTCGATAATAACAATCATCACAAGCCGTTTGTCATTCCGCTGCTGGATGAAGTGCCACCAAACGGCGAGTTACTTCACCACGCTGGTCAATGTGGGTTTATGACCTCGGAACTGGTTCAGATATCCCCCGCCACTGATGTTGGCCATTGGCTAGGAATCGAACGACAATAACTTTATTTTTGTTTTAAAGGTTGCACTTTGCTTCTCTTTAAACACAGATTTTTTTTTTAAACACAAACACACACACACACAAATCTATATGAATGCGTTATGTAAGGGACACAACAAAAAAAACTGGATTGAAAAGTAAGTTTTAAAAGATGTATGCTGTCCCTTCCACCGTGAATATTACATGATTTTTGCTCGCATTAACATTTGAGTACAATTTTAAAATCACTGCTCTCGAAACCGCAATCCACTCACGTCATCTCCCTCTCCTTGATTCTGCTTATGGAACGAAGTCGGCAAAGTCACGCACCGCCACGGAGTTTTTATTATTGAAAATCTATCACCCACTTATCCCTTTCGGGACAAGATGAACAGGAACAAGCCAATTACTCTCCATTTTAACCTTTTGTCTGCTGTGTACGCTGCGTGTGTGTTA